ACTAATGGGTGTAAGAGGTGTGATTTTATATTTTTGGGTTTTGATCAATATGTGTTATGTGCGTATGGTGTATATGTCCTAAATATTCCTCGAGAACCACGATAGGCAGGAACATGATTTATATACATTTAGGTCAGTATTGGACATAATCTTCCTTTTATGAAAGTAATCCGTCCTAATTAAATTCGTGTCGCATCATAATATTTAACAAACTACATATAATTATAAGAAATTATTAAATTAAATGAACAATATACTATATTAAAATATTGTTCCACAAACATGGGCCGAGTGGATTTTCACTTGGTTTTAATGGAAACATACTCTTAACTTGGAAGGTCGAGTTTCGATGAAATTCTTTCTTTCCATTTTCTTTTAGTATAGTAGGTTCGATTGTCATTTATTAAAAACAATATTATATTAAAATATTATTTTATAATCTATCAAATACAAGTTACAAAATAAGTAATTATTGATAAATGAAAGCTCACTACTTCATCAATGATTAATTGAAATATACTGATACCATATATATATATATAAATATATTGTTTTCTAACGTTAATTATTTGTGTTTGGTGTGGGCTTCAGACAATGGAAGACAAGACGAGCGTTTCGAATCTGTTAGCAGGTCAATTCTGATATGAGAAAGGTTGTTCCTCCGGTACTAAATTATATATATAAACACGTGGTTCTGCATCTAATTTTTTATGACAACATTGGACAGGGCTGAAGCATGCATCGAGTATCTATTTTTTCTCACGTCACAACAATGAGAGGTAGGAAGTTTCACATAATTTTTTTCTTTAAAAAAGAAAATTCATTGCAATATCTAAATACTAACCATATATTGAACTAAGAGAGTATGGACAATTATACATACACCCAAACAATCAACACTCATCTCAATACCCAAGGTTAAAATGAGAAGGGGTAAATTTGTAATTTTACTGTTCATAAACCTTGAGTGTTGAGATGAGTGTTGATTATTTGAGTGTATGTATAATTATCCAAAGAGTGTACATAAATTAAAAACTCAAATGATTATCTAAATATTATTAAAGAGCATCTCACTTTAAAATGTGATGTTCAAACCTCATCCCTTCCCCTTCTCCCTCCCTTAATTGTTCATGTTCAAAAAATATATATATATATAAATAAACAAATTAAAGATATAAAAGTGTTTTAAGGTGTGCATAAATTATGTTTTAAGAATGTTTTATAATTATTAAAAAAAAAATCTCACGTTCATGTACATGGACAAACGATTTACATAATTTTGATTTTTTCTTTCGTACACATTTAATGAATAGATTGTATCATAGAAGATCATCGCCTTCTTTCGCAAGCTCCTTTATTCCAATTCTAAAATTCGAATATAAAATTTTGGTTAAACTTTCAATTTAGTCCCTAAGCTATTGTACAAACTTCTTATTTGGTCTCTAAACTAAAAAAATTCTTAATTTGATCTCTAAATTATTGTACAGACCTTCAATTTAGTCCCTATTGTTTATCAATTTGCCTCAAGTTGATCATTCCGTACAAAAAATAACTGACGTGTATATTATTTAACAGTGAAAAATAGTAACTTAATGATAAAAAATAATAACTTAACAATCTCATGTTACGTTAATAACAAGACACGTTAATTAATTTTTGTACAGAAAGACCAACTTGAGATAAATTGATAAATAGTAGAAACTAAATCGGGGTCCATATGATAGTTTAGGAACCAAATTAAAAATTTTTTTAGTTTAGAGATCAAATCAAAAATATATACAATAGTTTAAGGACCAAATTAAGGATTTAACCTAAAATTTTCAACATATATAAAAAGCTCAAGTTTCCCGACCAGTCTTTGATTCACATCATAAGACACAAACAATGTTGAAATGCTACGTTAGGTTCCTCCATCTTACAATTCTATCTCCTCTGAGACATTGACCATTCTCAATGTGGATGTTTCATATTGCCATGCCACAAAGGCTAACTTGTCAGCCAGTCTCGAGGAAAGCCTAAAATTATAGCAGCAACTTTCCCGACCACCATGAAATTCGATATCTGGTAAATCATTGATCCGATATGATAATACTGCTAAACATTAGAGGGTAAAACAGCAAAATGGAGATTAGTTTTTAAGCCTGAAGGAATGAAATGTTAGAAACATTATCAGTGTTAGATTTATAGACTTTGATTTCAATGAAAGTTTTGCAATTTAGGTAATAAACTTTTATGTGTTACCCTATAAACAGACAGAAATTACCAAATTAATTACTTTCGATAGACAGAGAAGATTTTATTTCCTTATGTAGCAGTGACAATTGAGAAAAAACTACTGGCAAAATTTTAATTAATTTATTATCATATTCGGCAAAAAATTTGTTACCATATATAATAGAGAGAAAAAGAGGAGTGCTGAGTGCATTAACACTTAATCATTGATTGTCTGAGTGCTATTTTTTATTTTTTCAATTTATTTCTTTTAAATAGGGCAAATTTGTCCAATCAATGGCTTAAGTGTTGGTGCACTCAGCAATCTGCCTAAGGGCACATAAAGAGAAAAAATAATAATAATAATAATAACTGTCTTTTAGTTAGGTGCTAATCTTGCAATTTGTGGTTGCCTAAAATTTAATCTTTTTGGTAATTTTAAAAGAAGTTTCGTGTTGTGCAAAAATAAACATATTTTTTTAAATTAATATATATAGTGATTATCCATCATTGATTGACCTAGTGATCATTCTCTTAAAAAAAAAGTAATATTTAAGACATCAAATTCTTGAATTCAAGTTCAGGCACTCACTCCTCCAACCAAAGTTTCCCCGGTTCAAACAAATATATATATATATATATACACACACACAGGGACTAGAGCAGGAATTATATAGACAACATTACGAACTTCCTAAGCCTCTATGAGGCCAAACCGAAATACTTAGGTTCTTACTCTACGCACGTAAATACGTGCCCATAGATGTTTCCCATTGACTATAAACTTGGCTTTTGCTTGCCCATTCAGAACAGTCAAAATCACAAGGAAGTAGTGAAAACAACACGTCCAAACTGAGGATTTCTTCCTGGACCAGTCTGTTCCACCACAACATCTTGCCCTACGTGATATCCCCAGTTCCTACGAAACAAATTTCAATGCCATTTATAGAAGATAACTAAATTATCGACTATTAGTTATCATTCATCGGGTATCAACTATGATTTGAAGAGAAAAATAGATGGAAATTAAATGAGATTCCTTCACATACGAGGTAAAGAACTCGAGGATTTCTTCCCTACTTAGAGGGAAACCTTTGAAGAAGGTTAGGAACATTGTTCTGGCATCTTTTGAGGTTTGTCCAGGATGGAAATCCTCAGCATGAGGATTCAAAGTTGAATGCCTGGGTTTCTGGCCAGGCTTGCCAGAAGCTAGCCGTGGATCCAAGGGTTCTGACTGCTGGCCTCAGACCCCAGTTATCAACTTCCAAAGCCGCTGTCTCCCCAAATATCTTCTCACAAAACAGTCTGCATGATGTGCTGGAATCGCCTGTATATAAATGAACTCACGATTGTAGTAAAAGAACCTGTATATATACCAACAAGAACATCGTCGAGTTGATCAAATCATATCATCACCATGATAACTACGCACTAACTTTTCTTTACCTGTAGTTCATGGGATCGTCGAAAAGCCCAAGAAAGGCGGAAAAATCGTCAGGGGATTCAACCGGCGGTGCAGCATTGAGAGGAAGCCAGTCGAAGCACTTCAAAGGTTCAATTGAAGAGTGCATTGACGATGTGATGGTTGAGGGAATGGATTGCTCTTATTAAGTCATAGTAGCCAATTTCCTCCAGGGTGAGTCAGAGTGCAATGGCTCTCTTGACTTGGTGGGAGGTTTTGCCCATAGAAGAGACCATTCTGTTAAACAGTTTCTCTCTAGGGAGTAAAACAGGAGGAGGTCAACTAGGGTTCCGACTCCTGAATGCTGAGATACTGAGATTTTGGATTGCAGAACGCTGTTTGAACGAGGAGATCAAGAGGGCATGGAATTTGACTCTTGGGACTTGGAGATGTTACCCTTTGGAAACGAAATTTTTAAATTTTGGCTATCTATTGCAGTGGTTGAATCTTTATTGCACTGTTGCTACTGATGGCATGATGATAGTGAATATCTGTCTTTCTGGGTATAGTGTTCTCAGCTACCAGAGGGCAAAACAGGCAAAGAGCAAAACGTACTAAAACATGAATAGAGAATACCAAAAAAAAAAAAAAAAAAAAATTGACGATGAACTGAAAAAAACATGACCCTGCAATATCAAATTAAAAGAGAGAGAGAGAGAGAGAGAGGTAACAACAAATAAAACTATTTTGAACCGAAGAACACGTGCACATGAAATCTATTTTTAACAGAATTTTAAATCGTCAAATAAAAAGTTACCGCTTAATGTAATTTATGGCCATACATGTGTCTTAGACAACTGAAGTAAACTTCACTCTCTCTGACGGTTAACTGTCTTGGTAACTTTATTATTACTAGTAGTTCACAACACAAGCAGCCAGTGCGTTGGAGGCTGTTTCTCCTCAGAGCCTTGCAGTACGGAGCTGTTGCTTTAGCAATGGACGGATATACTCATGGTAACCATCGGGCACTACAGTGTCATTCAAAGGATCCTTCCATGCTTCATCGTAGAGTTTTGGGTATACATTTCCGTCATAGCAGCCAAGAATTGACCCCAGGTAGTGGTCGGTGTAATTGAATGCATCAACAAGTGTGATTGCATTGGGACGGACCTGACAATGTAATGTAATCAGATCCAGTGGGAAAAATAAGTCTCTTACTGTTTAGGTATTCGATAACTAGAGTGGCATATTTGATTTGACACAAACCTGAGCATATAAAGATCTGAGCTGTTCATTTGCCAGTGAACCTTGCTTCGGGGTAATGCAACCAGTGGAGAGGAAATCTCCGAGATGTTTGTGTATAAGATGCAGAGTATAAACACCACAGAGGATCTCTAATTGTCTTTTCACTCCTTTTCCTGGTATGTCTTGTTGCAATTTCTCAATAAACCTGAAAGAGAGAGGTTTCTTAGATGACTTTCACAAGAGAAAGGAAGAATAAATAAGGTCATTCTAAACGTCTCCAACTTCATTACATCCCATAATCCATTCACTATAATTTCCAGGAAATTTTAAATTAAGTAGGCACATCACACAGAAAGAAAATCAAATATGTTAAAGAGTACTGGTTTGAAGGTTTTACTTTTACAATGAGCCTCTGCCAGGAATCTATAATTTAATCTGATAGAAATGAGTATGGTGTTATTTATATTGGACTATCGCACGTTCCACATCACAAGGGGAAGAAAAAGGAGGCTGTTTAAGGCCCATAGACCTGGGGTGGTTCAACCCCCAACAGTCAATATGATATAACAGTAATGGCTCTCTGGATGATTTAGTAGAGTTGCACAACAAGATTAAACCTTATTGGCTTAGGTTGGAGAAGCTTACTTGGAAACAACAATTAACTGACAGTGAGCAACTGCAGCCTCAACTAAATCAGCTGAGAGTTCTGCAAAACCTGAGGAAAAAAATCATGAAAAACACATCAACCTCATGGACTATTTTAAGTTCCAAAAACAGCCATAGCCACAAACTTAGATGAATGGCATAACATATGATGGGCATGAACTAGGAATCCACTTATTTACTATAAATAATAAAGTTTGTTTTTTGTTGAAACTGTTAAAAACACATATCCATAAAGTAGCCATCTAAGCATGGGCCTAGCCACTGCTATACTTGTGGGTCAAGCATCATTTCTAGTTTCTATCAAAAAGAAAATTTGGTATAAGATATTTGGTCCTCAATCAAGGTTAGAAAAGACATACCATCCTCTGGATTTGAAAACTTGCTAAGGTTTTTAGCACAGGCAACAGACATCCTAGTTGCTCTTGCTTCAAAAGCCTCCAATATTACATTAGGCTTCAGCCAATCTTCAGCTGCATGTCATAAAAAGGAAGAAAAATTATTGACTTGGCCATAAATATGCAAAAGAACCTGATATATAGCTCACAGGCCATCCTAAAGAGTTAGCAATATTTTGAAGGACATCACAGCAGCAAGGATAGATGCATTAAGAAATCAAAAAGAGACCCAATCCACAGATCAAAATTGAGTAAGGTTAAAACTCTAGATTTGGCAGCAACACCCCCCCAACCCACCTTCCAAAACAGGACTTTTAACTTTTAAGCACATTCAAGGCAGATACAACATATAATTATGAGATGTATTACCCCTCTGAACATCACAGCGACATTGCAGAAGGTGTTCTGCACGCCCCATATAAGCTGTTGTTCCAACAGGCTTCTTCCCAGATGGAAGCTGAGAAACAGTCTTCACAAGAAACCTTGCAACCTGCAGGAGAGTTTCATGATAGTTCATTAACACTTCAAAGAATAAAAAACCCAAACTCAGGTAGGCTGATGTGACAGTCGATGCAACAAATTGGCTAATCCCAGTGGTAGTGCAAGGAATAAAAACAAAGAGCTCCATCAGTGTGTTCATCCCAGTTCATTCTTATTCCTGAGTTATGACCAGAGATATTGAAAATAAAAATGAAAATATTTCATATTTCTTGTACCTGTAAAAGTAGCACAATGTTGTCCCCCTCATAAGTACAAGCAGGGATGTAAACTGCAAATAACTCAGGAAGCCCACTGCAATGCAAGTAACCATGGCCACCACATAATTTTCGACATTCTTCAATACCATCCTGAAACCACAGTAATTGGTAAACTAGATAAATAATGAAACATATCCAGATCACTAAAGATGAAAAAAAAAAGTGTCAGCAAGCACTTCTCAAAAAGATACAATGCCATATAATAAGTCATAACTATAGTGTTATATAGCAATATGTCAAAATGAATCAAACTATGGGAATCCTAGTAACTGTTGCTTCAAGTTCAGGGGAGAGAGAGAGAGAGTTTTGGAAATTTGTAATAGTCACATACAGCAGTTGCAGTAGTAGTAATAGACTTTAACCCTGCAGTACATGCATGAGCCTCAGGCAATGTCGAGAAATCATTTGCTTGCAATCTTTGAGTTACATCCGTATATAGCCATTTCAGCCATTCACCAACAAATCTAAAAGCATAGGCAGAAGCCAGCAAAGGAAAAAGCCTACTTTGCTGAGTTTTGTAGTCAATCACCTGGGAGAAAAAGAAAAGGAAAAGAAAAGAGGACAAAAGCATTAGACATATCAACTTCAAAAAAAAAAAATTATGTCAAATAATTGAGAAACAGCATACCATAGACTTTACAACACAATTATATGAAAATTTGTACAGAAATGAGGGGGGAGGGAGTGGAGGGAATTATATGGCTGCCTAGAGCTAGCTTCAGTTGTCAAGAAGGTTAGCTGTAAATTCATAAGAACAATTATGAATCAAATCTTTCTATTGTTGCATATCTTTTGGCAATATTCTCACTTGGTACATCTAGAAATTTTGATCTAATGAGATCTTGCTGAAAGCAACTTTTCTCTGAAATTACATTCATATGAGCCATATATAAAATTTAAATCATACATGATAAACCACTGGCAGGTTTTCTTGCAAACAAGTTACTTCCTCCATCCCATAATAATAGTCCCTTTTTGACTGAAAATTTCTGCCAAATTAACAGTGGTTTTTTCAGTTATTAGGGTGGACTTTTTTTTTCCACTTTACCCCTATTATTATCCCTTTAAGTTTAATTTTCCACCTTTATCATCAAGATCTTCACTTAATTCTTGTCTCTTCCTTAAGGCTCATGTAGGCAAAAACTAAAATTGTCTACAAATTCTTAATCTCTGGAAAAGTTAAAAAATGAATATTATTATGAGATAGAGGGAGTGAATAGAAGACTACAACACAGCCAAATTCCTGTTCAGTATGAGTAACTAAATAATAAAAAATATCTGTATGACAGATACCTGGGTCTCTAGACCATTCTGAGAACCAAATTGTCTACGGACACAACTGTATCTAGTAGCTATGCAAACTGCCCGTGATAAAGCAGTAGAAGCATCAGCAACAATTGTTTGTCGAACATACACCATGGTGCCATAAATCAGCTGCCGAGGAACATTAGATTGTACATATTTTCCTTCTCTTGTAACCTGTGAGACCCTGAGACATTTGGAACAAACTTTAGAACATTCATCTGATTTATCCAAGAACATATTACTAGAGAAGACTGAAGCTTCACATCAGCTTACAACATTGTCTCCATTTCATTTTGGATTCATAGAAAACTGATGATAGGCATAAAATCCCCTAGAACTTGAATATATCTACTAAAGGCAACAGCTCATGAGAAGGAGCATCCATGACAAAGATTTATTTAGAATCAATTTAACAGCATGGAGACATTTCAAGCTCACATGTATAAAGCCTAAATTATGTTCCCTTAAAAGAGGAAGCAACACTGCAAGCAATAAGCAACAGAAACAGAAAAGATGCAATGACACAGGCAAAAAAAAAAAAAAAAGGTCACAAAGAGCATGGCCAGAGAACAAACCGCATCAACATTTGATTTCTTGGGATGCGCACTTGATCAAATCTCAAAACACCATTGTCCATGGTGTTATATGCTCCACTTCCAAATTTCATCCCAATATCACCAACTGTAATGCCTGGAAGAGGAGAGTGGTCATCCAAGCTCCGTAGCTGGACAATGAATCCTGTACAATGGAACTTATGCATAAATAAATGAAATACAAAATCTATGCCAGGATTTGAGACAAAGGATTGGAACATACCATGTATTCCATGGTCTTCACCATCTGTTATGAGACGAGCATAAACAACAGCATGTGTAGAAACTTTACCCAATCCACCAGGCCACCACTATGAAAAGACAAGAACCTAAGTTATAGTGTTCATTCAAAGGGAATGTAATGATCAATTTAAATTAAAAGCAAAGATGAAGTCTGAAGTCTCTACGCTAGATATAACAGATGTGTGATACAGTATTTTGCTGAACCTTTGCTGAACTTCACTCACAGATAACAAAATACAATCAAGAATGAAAATTGAGGCACCTCTATACAGTATTTTGCTGTGAATGGTGTATGAATTATGCTTTATCAATCTCCATCCAAAACTAGATAAAGGCTCTTTAACCAGTTGACTTACCTTGCTCGAAGTCAGTGTAGGACTGTGAATGACAAATTCATCAGTCTGGGGATCAAATGTTGCAGTGGTTTCAAGTCCCTGAACATTGGAGCCGTGACCAAGTTCAGTTTGTGCATAGCAACCAATTATTTGCATTCTATATGCCAAAGGCAACCACTTCTGTTGCTGCTCCTCTGTGCCTTGTCCTTTAATAGCAGGTACAAACATTCCCTGCCAAGAAAACTTACATGAGTAGGTAGATCTACAGTACAAAAGCCTTTTGATAAAATATTTCAAGCCAAGAGATCATATTTTTACATAAAAAAATCCTGCCCATAAATATTAAAACAAGTGATGCTGGATAATGAATAAAAGGCAACATAACCTCACCCAATGAAGATCAGTATAAGCAGGCTCATCCACAGAATTCCTTAATTTAGATGCCTCTTCTTCTGTTATAACAAAAAATGCTCATTAAGTATAAGTACAGATGAAAATAAACAGGTATTGACAATTGTTAGTAAAGTAAAGAAAATAAAAGAAGGGATAGGAATGTAAGAATTCATGATGAAAACACACCAGAAAGACGGAGCTCAATTATCCGCTTCCAAGCATGAGCTGCTTTTTTTAAAGTATTTTTAAACAACTCCTTCCTACTTAGAATAGCTCTATTATCCTTACGAAAGACCTGTGGTTGGATGAAACGAACCAACAAACAACAAAGCATTAAAATAGAAGAATGATCATCAAATTTAAAAATGCGAAAATGAAAATTCCAGGAAACAAACATTATATTCAGCCTCTTCGCTAGATTTAAACTAGAAACAGCTAAAAAGCAACGAAGCTACATGCAATTAGAGCTAAAATCTCACAATTTTCCGGCTAAATTCACACTAGAATCCTAATTTTTCCTGCATTTTCTTTGAAATCAAAAGGAGAAAAGGTAACGAATCAATAGCAACGAATCGCGAAAAGGAATAATCTCTGAATGGAAGCTTCTAAAAGCCGTACAAATAAGATAATTTCCTGTTGATCGAAAACTGTCAACATAAGATAGATAACTTGAATAGATAAGCATTTTCAGTTCATTTTGGGCGTCCTTTCTCAGGAATCAAACGGAAACGAGCAATCAGCAATAGAAAATGAGATATAGAGAAAGAATCATCACCGGATCACTAGCAACGAGACGAGCAATCCGATCGGAGACTTCAAGAACGTGGCGAGAACCAGCCCAGACGATCTTCATCGCCTCGACATCAAACTCCGCCTTGCTCCGCTCGTCGGCATGGTAATCCACTCCCTCCATTTTCGACTCTCGAGATTGAATTGCGAAACAGAAGATTTTACGGATTTAGAGAAAAAATTAGCGAAGCCGATCTGTACACGGCGTTGGTGTATCTATCTATATAAATACATTCAAGTATATTAGGTTGGGTAGACTTTTGACATATGCGGTAATATTGGCAGGTGTG